AATGCTTTAACCACTAGGTTACCCCATTTGTCAGGTGTAACAGCTATAAAGACATAGAGCACATGTAGCACAAACATTTCATTTATTTCGTATTAAAACAATTGCATATTAGCAAATATGAAGTAAACATAAAATTCACTAAAACCAATGCATGAAATACAAAACAAGATAAATGCATTTAATTGAGATATTGTGCAGCTTGAATATTTTAAGGTGGTTGTTCCACTGGTTCAAATTACAAATGATATCTGAAGTTGGCCAAATAACTATTAGTACGACACTACATCGGACTGGAACATTTCTGACAATCAACATATACAATCCACTGGAACATTCCTGACAATCAACATATACAATCCACTGGAACATTCCTGACAATCAACATATACAATCCACTGGAACATTCCTGACAATCCTATCAACATATACAATCCACTGGAACATTCCTGACAATCAACATATACAATCCAGTTAAAACTGCTGCGGGTAGGGGCCAAATGGATGTAGATGAATGCTGGGATAACATCATCACACAGCACAATAACTCTAGTGTGGATAGTCAGGAGTTTCAGCGTCGCTTCCTTTTGTTGATGTATTTTTAAAGAAAGTATTTACAATATAAAGATGCATATAAGATGCAAGTATCACTAACTTAGCCACATTAAAAAAAATACTGTCATTTAGGACCAGGAACAGCATGATCAAATGTAAATTCATTGACCATCAACACAATGAAATATAGATGGATTTGGCATCAAAATGATCAAATGTAAATGCATTTTACGTCCTGGGTCTGCTTGCACAAAGCCGTCTTAGCACTAGGATTAACTCCCATCCCATGACGTGGACTTCCGGGGGTCGTAGTGCTAGGATGACATTGTAGTGTAAAGCAGCCCAGATGATTAAATGTGAATGCATTTTATATCTTAAATGATCAAATGTTCATACGGCAACTCTCAACATGATCTAATGTAGATATGGTTACCCTCAACACGATCAAATGTACATATGGTTACCCTCAACACGATCAAATGTACATATGGTTACCCTCAACATGATCAAATGTTCATATGGTTACCCTCAATATGATCAAATGTACATATGGTTACCCTCTACATGATCAAATGTACACATGGTTACCCTCAACACGATCGAATGTACTTATGGTTACCCTCTACATGATCAAATGTACATATGGGTACCCTCAACACGATCAAATGTGCATATGGTTACCCTCAACACGATCGAATGTACATATGGTTACCCTCTACATGATCAAATGTACATATGGGTACCCTCAACACGATCAAATGTGCATATGGTTACCCTCAACACGATCAAATGTTCATATGGTTACCCTCAACACGATCAAATGTTCATATGGTTTCCTTCAACACGATCAAATGTTCATATGGTTACCGTCAACACGATCAAATGTTCACATGGTTACCCTCAACGTGATCAAATGTACATATGGTTACCCTCAACAAGATCAAATGTTCATATGGTTACCCTCAACACGATCAAATGTTCATATGGTTACCCTCAACACGATCAAATGTTCATATGGTTTCCTTCATCACGATCAAATGTTCATATGGTTATTCTCAACGTGATCAAATGTACATATGGTTACCCTCAACATGATCAAATGTACATATGGTTACCCTCCACATGATCAAATATACACATGGTTACCCTCAAGACAATCAAATGTACACGTAGTTACCCTCTACACGATCGAATGTACAGATGGTTACCCTCTACATGATCAAATTACATATGGTTACCCTCAACACGATCAAATGTGCATATGGTTACCCTCAACGTGATCAAATGTTCATATGGTTACCCTCAACACGATCAAATGCACATATGGTTACCCTCAACACGATCAAATGTGCATATGGTTACCCTCAACATGATCAAATGTTCATATGGTTTCCTTCATCACGATCAAATGTTCATATGGTTACTCTCAACGCGATCAAATGTACATATGGTTACCCTCAACACGATCAAATGTACATATGATTACCCTCAACACGATCAAATGTTCATATGGTTACCCTCAACACGATCAAATGTTCATATGGTTTCCTTCAACACGATCAAATGTTCATATGGTTACCCTCAACACGATCAAATGTTCATATGGTTTCCTTCAACACGATCAAATGTTCATATGGTTACCCTCAACACGATCAAATGTACATATGGTTACCCTCAACACGATCAAATGTACATATGATTACCCTCAACACGATCAAATGTTCATATGGTTACCCTCAACACGATCAAATGTACATATGATTACCGTCAACACGATCAAATGTACATATTATGGTTACCCTCAACACGATCAAATGTACATATGGTTACCCTCAACATGATCAAATGTACATATGATTACCCTCAACACGATCAAATGTTCATATGGTTACCCTCAACACGATCAAATGTTCATATGGTTACCCTCAACACGATCAAATGTACATATGGTTACCCTCAACACGATCAAATGTACATATGGTTACCCTCAACATGATCAAATGTACATATGATTACCCTCAACACGATCAAATGTTCATATGGTTTCCTTCAACACGATCAAATGTTCATATGGTTACCCTCAACACAATCAAATGTACATATGGTTACCCTCAACACGATCAAATGTACATATGGTTACCCTCAACATGATCAAATGTACATATGGTTACCCTCAACATGATCAAATATACACATGGTTACCCTCAAGACAATCAAATGTACACGTAGTTACCCTCAACATGATCGAATGTACAGATGGTTACCCTCTACATGATCAAATTACATATGGTTACCCTCAACACGATCAAATGTGCATATGGTTACCCTCAACATGATCAAATGTTCATATGGTTTCCTTCAACACGATCAAATGTTCATATGATTACCGTCAACACGATCAAATGTTCATATGGTTACCCTCAACGTGATCAAAAGTACATATAGTTACCCTCAACACGATCAAATGTACATATGGTTACCCTCTACATGATCGATAAATATGTATAGATTTCCTTCAGCTTGATTTAATGTAAATGCTTCAATGACCAATATGATCAAATTGAGATGCATCTGCCACCAGCCTGATCTAAATGAATTGCCTTTTACACCAGCATGATGACATGTAAGTGCATTTAAAACCAAACATGATGCAATGCAATCGCATTCAACGTCAACTTAATTAAAGAAAAGATATGATAAAAATGTCTGAATTTACCATGAACATGATCGAATGTCGAAGGATTTTACAAAAATGTATATGGTAGCACGATAAAATGTTAATTCATTTCCCGATGTGATGAAATTAATAGCATTTAGAATGATGATTAATGTAATTGCATTTATTATGATTGTAATCAAATGTAAATATATTTTCAACACAAGCATGATCACATGTTAATAAATTTGACCTGAACGTGCTAAGATATATATTGTGCATTTAGAGCCAACTATTATCGAATGTAAGTGCACACAGCATCAAGATGATCATCTGTAAAATGTCAATGCATTTCCACCAACATAAAAATAAAGTCCACGTAGCATTATCATCATCAAATCTGGATGCATTTAGCATGATCATACATGAATTCATTTAGCATCAGCATGATCAAATTACCATGTTTACATGTAGCTTCATCAAATGTACAGTCCGTTTGTGTCAGAAACGGACCGATGAATTGCAAATTTTATCATTGTACAAAATCGCCACATAAATATAAATAGTACACATGTTTATCATTTACTAATACCCAACAGCTTTCTTATATTTGAAAATTTTCCGGACTCCACCGAAAAAGTTCTTTAAGAAACTATCATTAAAATTTTGACACAGTTCACTATTTGTTGCGAGGGAGGAGTGCAGAGGAAGGGACAGACAGGTTTTAGAGAAGCACGTGCACAAGTGCCCACCAAGTTATTGATTCATTAGCCTGTGCTGTGCCGTTCCGTCTCCATCCTTTCTCGCACACCTGGCTGTCCCTTTCTCTGCACTCCTCCCTCGTAACAAATAGTGAACTGTGTCAAAATTTTAATGATAGTTTCTTAAAGAATCTTTTGGTGGAGTCCGGAGAATTTGTGTATTTTATCACCAATGCATGGAATAGAAAGCATAATCACAAAATAGATGTCTACGGTAGATGTTGTACATGCTAGTATGTCGCATTGACAAATGATGTTCGTCGACTATTTTGCAGTTCAATTCAACAAGAATCAAGCTTTTATGTGGTTGAACATATGATAATCCGTTTAGAAACCTTCAAAATGACTTCTTAGCCCCGGCACTCCTAAATTTGATTTCATGGATGGACAGAGATTGAATCCTGTATAAAACTACATGTGTACATCTCTTAGCAAGGGTCCTTTCACTACTAAAACACCTGTTTTATGTTTTATTCACAACTATATTTACTTTTGACGGAATTCATAACGTTAACAGCTGTGAGTCAAAATACATTGTGTCGCTGAGAATAAGCAGCCATTTAAATTATAAAATGCAACTTTGCCTTCCAAGCAGCATAGATAGGGCAGCACGAACACAACCTTGAATACAGTGGAACCAGTGTTGTGGACCCTGTTTTGACTGGTAGTACCTATGACAGTGAAAGCACCAACGGTAATCGTGCCAGTTGAAGGCGCAGTTGATATATATATATATTTCATTTATAAAATGATCATATATTAGAGATATTATTTGTGGATACCTTTCCACATAACGCTGGCAGATGAAGATTTTTATAAAGGAAACCCTGATAATGTGTGTGAATATTCTTACAGTAGTAGAGAAAGATAAACTTCCTGGAATCCTCCATGCCTGTAGTAGCACCCGTAAACCGTGGTACCCGTAGTACAAACGTACTGTTCGTACGATATTACTAAATCAGCAAAGAGTCCGAGGATTTCAGTCGAATCCATGAACCAGGTTTGCTAATCTTTAATCAGTAGGTCTTCATTTCCACCTAGTTGTGCATGGGGAACCAGTTTGATGGCCTACATGTGCAAGTTTGTCTTCTACACAGGATAATGTTAGATATAACCGTCGGCTTGACGCCATTCCGCTAGAAACTCTCGTCTGACCTCCATTGTTCCGAAAATGTAACATATTTTACGTGTTTAGTTTTGTTTTTATCTAACTACTCTTTTCAAAGCTAATGTACATTATTCCAGTACATCTTAACCCTGAAAACTAAACCTGTTTAAGTTTCGAGTGGATCTTCATTCGCAGAAGTTCTGCCCTTCCTCAACCTCCCAGAGTTTGTCCGGCAGCTGTGGCCCGGGGGTGAGGGAGAAGTCTATCTCCTCATACACCACAGGCTCCTCCTTCCTGTGCACGACGAACGTACCGTCAACCAGGGGAGGTTCCACAAGGTCAAGGTCAGCGTAGATAAGTCCATCGGCATTCTGAAAGTTAAACTAATTGATGAGTATTTTTTAATATGGATATTGGCTTATCATTTCTATGGGAAACCAGGTATTCGTTATGAAAACAGCTACAAATAGGAAGTTCGTAGTTTAACGTCAAGTCCATAAAATAACCTCGATTGCCGGACGATCCAGATATCATTTGACGTCACATTACTGAAAATCGGTGATGACAATCGGTATGTTTGTTGTGAAGTGAAGGCAAATCGGACAATCACGTAAAGAACCAAACATCGACTCCTTCGAGAGAATATTTATTGATCTGGTTTTGAATAAAACTATGAATGAGTGAATTTCGATTTACGCCGCCTTTAGCAATATTCCAGCAATATCACGGCGAGGGACACCACAAAATGGGGCTTCACACATTGTGCCCATGTAGGGAATAGCACCCGGATCTTCGGTGTGACAAGCAAACTCTTTCACCCTACCGGCCCATTAAACTATGAAAGCGATATGTTAATTCTGAGTGCCCGCTTTGTACAGTTGTTGCGGTTCTGTCGACTCTTGACGCCCTCAGTGGTGTAGTGGCTGAACAAAGGACTGATTCACTCGGATGCAGCCTACTTTCCCTGAGTGGGATATCAGTGTTATGCTCCTATATGGTAAGTTATGGGATGTAGCACTATAAACAGGGCATTACTACGGACTGATAATAGATGCTCCAACACACGCCTACACGCACCTTGCTATGTACCTGCAGTACTTTTATATAACGTCTATACCCATTTGATCGCACATGACCTTTCGGGTCACCTACGAATGAGCAGTTGAGAACTCACCCGTTCTCCAGAGTTGTTGATCAGAGCCTCTTTCTCACTCTGGAGATAAATCATATGATCAATTGAAAACATTTTACCATGATACGCATTCATGACGATGACGAACATTCCTAAAAATGCGAGACCATTCTACTCTTAACTCGCCACGATATGGCTGAAATATTGCCCATGTGACGTTAAATAGTAACTCGCTCACTCACTCACTCACTCACTCACTACCCTTAAATGTTGTAACACGGATGAAGTAATTATGCCTGTTAAACCGTGTCCAGGTCGTCGCCAATTATCTCCGACAAGAAGGCAAACTGACGTTGGACTGTCCCTAGTCACGCTCCAAATAGAGGTTTACTCCCATTAGTTAGTCATAAGAAAAGTTAGACTATTGGGTATGTCTGACAAATGGGAGGATACCAGAGCCCCATTATTTATTTACTATTTGTTGTTCGTGTACACAACCAAGAATATGTCCCAGGGAGGATAGAATGTGCAATAGACCAGTATGGCCCATCTAGTGGCAGCATGAATGCAAATATACGTGAATCAACATGTATGTCACCAAGACGGGTATCGCCCTACCTGGTGGACACACCGGATACTGACATACATACTCAAAATATTTCTGCAGACATTATGGAAATTCACCTTCAGTAAAATTCCATCAGTCTTTTATCAACATTCCAGCAATATCACGGCGGGGGACACCAGAAATGGGCTTCATACATTGTACACGTGGGGAATCGAACCCGGGTCTTCGGCGTGACGAGCTAACGCTTAGACCATTGGACCCGTGCAGATCCGGGTTAAAATTGGTCTGCAACAACCCATGCTTGTCGCAAGAGGCGACCAACGGGATCGCGTAGTCAGGCTAACTGACTTGGTTGACACATGTCATTGTATCCCAATTGCGTAGATCGTTGCCCATGCTGTTGATCACTGGATTGTCTGGTCCAGACTCGATTATTTACAGACCACCGTCATTCAGCTTGAATATTGCTGAGTGCAGCGTTAAACAACAAACCAACCAACCAACCAATGACTTTAACCACTTGGCTACCCCACCGCCCCGAAGTCATGCCATCTGCTGCTTAATGCTGTGTGCGTGATGTAAACTCACCGAGCGCGGTGCACCATACATGAGGTTCATGAACTTGACTGGCGTGTACACATCTGTGGGGCAACAACACAAGTGAGTGGAAGTGAGAAAGTTTGGGTCTAGCACCACAGTATGAAATCTTACACTGACATCATTATGTAAGCAAGCGTTAAACACAATGCGGTTTTGACACATTGAGTTGGTAAGTGAGTATGGTTTTACGCCGCGTTTAGCAATATTTCAGCTATATCACAGCAGGGGACACCACAAATGGGTTTCACACATTGTATAAATGTGGGTAATCGCACCCGGGTCTTAAGCGTGACGAGCGGACTCTTCAACCATTGGGATACCCCACCGCCTCTTGACACAATGAACACCTTTCAAATTCACAGACATCAGATTGTCGATAGTCGGCGACATTATATTGGTCCAGAATATTCCCTGAACCCTGCCTCACCCGTGCAGAAAAAATGAATAATCGGATAAGGGAAGAACTGCAGAATACAATCACGGTGTGGCGGACAGGTGATATATGATTTAATGATTTTGTTAAAGAACTATGGGTTTACCTTCACGTCTCTCCCGTCTCCTCTTGGTCACCTTGGAGTACAGATCTGTAGGACATATATAATACGGTAACAGAAGCGGCAGTTCAGATTCCCTTTTCTCAGGATTTGATTGTAAAATAGAAAAACATATTGTAAATATTTGTTGGGACAGTTTTGATTTAATACTTTTTGATCGTGTGCTATAATAGGCATTCTCGAAGTCGATGAGTAAGGGATGGTGATGATTTTAGTTAGGTGGGGGAGGCCATTGATATTGTACATGACATGCAGGGATACATGAATTCCAGGGGGGGGGAAGGGGGCATACACATTAAACATGCTTCTCTATAGAAATCATCATCACACACACAGAAACCATAAATTATGAACGGTCCCTTAAAAAGAAGAAAAAATACAAGACTCTGCATTACAACTTCCGGATTATTTCATTTAATGTACTTAACGTTTGATCCTAAACTCCTACTGACCCAGTGACAAGGAGGTGCATAATGCTATTATCGTGTTGTGTTTTTAGCAATTCCTGTCAGTCACGTGGTAATCTGAACAATACACACGTGTTGCATTACGTTGAAATATTAATCATGGAAACCCCATCGCTTGTGTATGATAACTCAGGGAAGATGTACAACAACGTCCGTGTGTAACTACTGTATGTGAATACTATCCAGTCACTTTGCCCTATACAGAATGATGTGATCGTGCTCTGTCCTAACCCCGATATGTATTTGCAGTCATGTTCGATATATTGACGTTCTATATTCTAACACCCATGTATGTCAGCAGTTAATAGTAAACGTCAGCAGTAACATGAGTGTTTCATCTGACGAAGGAGCAAGAATCAGCCCTGAAATGTTCTACAAAGAATAACAAGAAGTTGTTGTCAGAAACCTCTGCGAATGACTATAAAACTATAAAACTCCGGAGTATACCCTCTTATGTTATAGGATGGGTTGTACAGTGACAATCTGGATATGATATCGTTGATATCCTGACACCATATGTCAGTGACATATCACTGGTATGGTTGAATCTTACTGGCATAATTATCCTAGAATGTTGAAAAAAATTACCTATTATCATGACCCTCTGGAAAGTATTTAGACGCATTCTCAAACGAAAGCTAGAAATCGACTTTTTTGACGGAACAGAACAGAAGTTGTTGCTGATTGGAAACATCCTGATATCAGACAAATAACAAAGTTTACGTTTAGCCAGCCGGGCGACATGGGCAGTATATGTACTTCTCCGGATGACACGTACCATCAGACCTAGCACTTACAGTTTTCAATATCATATCATCACCTGTTCGTCTATACAGTTAAGAGACATAGGGACATGAAAAACTCGATGTAACATAGACAATAACCGAACCTGGAACGTATACACCTATAATTACTATAATTAAAACTTTGGCGATGGACTTTGCTTTACATAAAATGTACTGTTATTGCAAAGTGTGACACTCACTCACTCACTCATTTGTTGTAGTTCTATTAATCGATTCAGACTCTAGCTATATTTGTAGGACTAGATGTCGGTCTATTGATATGTATATCATTACTACAGATTTCCCAGAGAGAAGGCAGTACAGTACAAGGAAACTGATAGTTGAAATATGCTTAAGATGTATATGCACATTTATTACCATAAATAAGTTGTCAGTTTAACAAAGAAGGAAATATTTATAAAATGAAAAGCGAAACATCTTTACATGAAGAAAGCAATAAAAAAAATTTATTACAGACTTTACTGGGTGAGGTTGTTGGAGTTTGTCACAGAGTTACACGGACAGTGTTGGCCTTTGGTGATTTACCATGGTACAGAGTAACTCACATGTTCATCTGCCCCGCTACCTCGACAATGTACCATGTTACACCGTGTAACTAGTATGTCCATTAGACCGTCTTCTTGGCCAATGTACCATGTTACACCGTGTAACTAGTATGTCCATCAGACCGTCTTCTTGGCCAATGTACCATGTTACACCGTGTAACTGGTATGTCCATCAGACCGTCTTCTTGGCCAATATACCATGTTACACCGTGTAACTGGAATGTCCATCAGACCGTCTTCCTGGACAATGCAGTAGTGGGTACAACAAGGACTGGTCGGCTCGGAGTCAGTAGAATGTGTCTGAGTGGGGTATTCATGCTTCACTGCGGCATGGTATCTCAGTGAGCTAGCACTATAAAACCAGCTTAAGTCTGGGCTAGTACAAGCAGCCACACATACACACGCATGCACGTCGTCATATGAGCGAAATATTCTTAAGTACGACCTTAAACCCCATTTCACCTCACCTCACGTCCATTGATGAAGTACAATGCTGGACGGTGTAACAGCGGTTTACCGTAATAGCTTGGAGCAGCCACGCACGTTGATTATGTAACACAGTGTTACAGCTACATACAACAGCCCACGCACTAATACAGTGTACCAAAAAGCTTGGAAAAAACTACAAGTGCATGAAGCTGGCAGATTTAGCGTTGTCAGAGCAATACTGTCTTTAGCTATGGTATGAAAGAGGCGGATGTTAAAACAAGGCTGACAGATTTAGCGTTGTCAGAGCAATACTGTCTTTAGCTATGGTATGAAAGAGTCGGATGTTAAAACAAGGCTGACAGATTTAGCGTTCTCGGAGCAATACGGCATTTAGCTATGGTATGAAAGAGACGGATGTTAAAACAAGGCTGACAGATTTAGCGTTTCGGAGCCATACGGTATTTAGCTATGGTATGAAAGAGGCGGATGTTAAAACAAGGCTGACAGATTTAGCGTTCTCGGAGCCATGCGGTATTTAGCTATGGTATGAAAGAGGCGGATGTTAAAACAAGGTTGGCAGATTTAGCGTTCTCGGAGCAATACGGTATTTAGCTATGGCATGAAAGAGGCGGATGTTAACACGAAGCGTAATATGAGCAGAAGAAAACTGAAGAATTATTGAAGAAAAAAAGGAATTGAAACGATATGTTGTCACAGGGTCTCGTTTCGTTTGGTGGAGTATCGGAGACTAAGCATTGCGCTGTATACTCACGGCTCGGGTCTTGCTGGGCCTGTTCTTCATTGTCAGCATCAGCACTGCCGGAAAAAAACATAATGTAACTGATGTGTAATTTAGTCGTGCTTAGAAAATGATATCAGATATAGCTGTGAACCTGTTTGTCCATTAAGTCTGAGGTTGGCTATGGGGTGGGCCTGTGGTATAAGCATTTGTTCTAGATTTGACACCGTATGTCTGAAAGGTAAACACCCCATGGTCCTTGTCCTGATATAGTGCGAGGACTCTCGGAGTAGTGAAAACCACACACTCACTCACTCACTCACTCACTCGCCCTGACGATGTACTTACCTGCACGAATGTTCTCCTGAAATGTACATGTCGCAGTAATCAGGTTAATTTCCAAGTTTATGATCAACATTGCAATACGATGATTTTGATCTGAAATCTCGATTTTGTCAGTATATACCAGGTTAACTGGATGAATCACTGAAGGCTACCAAACGTTTGGAGAATGGTTACAGAAGCAACTAATAAATAGTACGAGATATACGAAATTACGCAATATGTTATTTTGCAGGGAAGTAATTAAGATAACATGACATTGTATAAATGTTGATACTATGTTCAGTGTTCACGTCAGCTTGACATATTACTTTTCTTGGCTCTATGTCTGTGAAGACTGATTGCGATAGCGACAGCAACGACGACGGTGATGACACACAAGACAGCAACTGTAGGCACGTTGATGCGGACGGCAGATGCGGCACCTGAAAACACTAGAAAACCAAACAATTATATTGTAAATACTGGTTCATATTGTACATGTCAGGAAACCACCACTGTGATATACAGGTCACTACAAGCTCCGACATACGCCACAAGAAAGACTCGAACAATGTTGAGGATCAAACAATGGGGCAGGTTGTATCTTCCAGGTAAGTGTGGTACAGATATCTAACAATCCAACAAACATGCCCGTACTTGCCCCACCATTGCTCGAGATGTTTATTCAGTTGGGTTTTGTTAGCTACATCGTACATTAACAACAACAAGAACATCGTCGTGGTTGTCTACGTGACCAACAGGGTTTTCAGCTCGACGTTTCTCTATGAACTGGTGCTTTATAGCCTTTTACGTAGATTGACGAACTAGTATGAAGAAAGGGAGATTGGTTTTCAGGACAAATCTGAATTTCTTACTTGGTTTATCAAGCGTCAGATTCCTTGACTTATTCCCATGTGTGTTGTTTACATGACAGGTGTACTGTCCCGATCTGTCAACAGCTGGCGTAAACAACACAGCCTCCCTGTGTCCTGTAACCAGCCTGTGTCTGGATGTGTTCCACCAGGTTACAGTGCAGGCAGGGTTACAGTCAGCGGAACATCTCACTGTGAGAGGGGCACCTGCTGCAGCAGTCACTGTACTGTTTGTTCCATTGAACAGGATCTGCTCTGGTCCATCTGGAACGGACGTCAATTACATACAATCCTCGTGTTATAACAGTGAAGTATACGGTGTTTTCAGCCTTACTGTCAATATACGTCCACAATACTGCACACATAAAACATTATTGTCAATATACGTCCAAACAATACTGCACAAATAAAACATTATTGTCAATATTCGTCCACACAATACTGCACAAATAAAACATTATTGTCAATATACGTCCACAATACTGCACACATAAAACATTATTGTCAATATACGTGCACACAATACTGCACAAATAAAACATTATTGTCAATATTCGTCAACACAATACTGCACACACAAAACATTATTGTCAATATACGTCCATAATACAGCACACATAAAACATTATTGTCAATATACGTCAACACAATACTGCACACATAAAACATAATTGTCAATTTACGCCCTCACAATACTTCACACAAAAATCATAATTGTCAATTTACGCCCACACAATACTGCACGCATAAAACATTATTGTCAATATTCGTCAACACAATACTGCACAAATAACAAACAGTAGTGTCAATATACGTCCACAATACTGCACACATAAACATTATTGTCAATATACGTCCACACAAAACTGCACACATAAAACAGTATTGTCAATAGACGTCAACACAATTCTGCACGCATAAAACAGTATTGTCACTATACGTCCATAAGTGCACACTTAAAACATTATTGTCAATATACGTCCACAATACTGCACACATAAAACATTATTTTCAATATACGTCAACACAATACTGCACACATAAAACATTATTGTCAATATTCGTCAACACAATACTGCACAAATAAAACAGTATTGTCAATATACGTCAACACAATACTGCACACATAAAACATTATTGTCAATATACGTCCACACAATACTGCACACATAAAACATTATTGTCAATATACGTCAACACAATACTGCACACATAAAACAGCATTGTCAATATACGTCAACACAATACTGCACACATAAAACATTATTGTCAATACACGTCCACACAATACTGCACAAATAAAACAGTATTGTTAATATTCGTCCTCACAATACAGCACACATAAAACATTATTATCAATATACGTCCACAATACTGCACACATAAAACATTATTGTCAATATACGTCCACAATACTGCAAACATAAAACATTATTGTCAATATTCGTCCACACAATACCGAACACTTAAAACATTATTGTCAATATACGTCCACAATACTGCACACATAAAACATTATTTTCAATATGCTTCCACAATACTGCAAACATAAAACATTATTGTCAATATACGTTCACACAATACTGCACAAATAAAACATTATTGTCAATATTCGTTCACACAATACTGCACACATAAAACATTATTTTCAATATGCTTCCACAATACTGCAAACATAAAACATTATTGTCAATATACGTTCACACAATACTGCACAAATAAAACATTATTGTCAATATTCGTTCACACAATACTGCACACATAAAACATTATTGTCAATATACGTCCACACAATACTTCACATATAAAACATTATTGTCAATATACACCCACAATACTGCACACATAAAACATTATTGCCAATATACGTCCAAACAATACTGCACAAATAAAACATTATTGTCAATATTTGTCAACACAATACTGCAAACATAAAACATTATTGTCAATATACGTCAACAATACAGCACGCATAAAACATTATTGTCAATATACGTCAACACAATACTGCACACATAAAACATAATTGTCAATATACGCCCACACAATACTTCACACAAAAATCATTATTGTCAATTTATGCCCACACAATACTGCACGCATAAAACATTATTGTCAATATTCGTCAACACAATACTGCACAAATAAAACAGTATTGTCAATATACGTCCAAAATACTGCACACATAAAACATTATTGTCAATATACGTCCACAATACTGCACACATAAAACATTATTGTCACTATACGTCCACACAATACTGCACACATAAAACATTATTATCAATATACGTCCACAGTACTGCACACATAAAACATTATTGTCAATATACGTCCACAATACTGCAAACATAAAACATTATTGTCAATATTCGTCCACACAATACCGAACACTTAAAACATTATTGTCAATATACGTCCACAGTACTGCACACATAAAACATTATTTTCAATATGCTTCCACAATACTGCAAACATAAAACATTATTGTCAATATACGTCCACAATACTGCAAACATAAAACATTATTGTCAATATTCGTCCACACAATACCGAACACTTAAAACATTATTGTCAATATACGTCCACAATACTGCACACATAAAACATTATTTTCAATATGCTTCCACAATACTGCAAACATAAAACATTATTGTCAATATACGTTCACACAATACTGCACAAATAAAACATTATTGTCAATATTCGTTCACACAATACTGCACACATAAAACATTATTTTCAATATGCTTCCACAATACTGCAAACATAAAACATTATTGTCAATATACGTTCACACAATACTGCACAAATAAAACATTATTGTCAATATTCGTTCACAGAATACTGCACACATAAAACATTATTGTCAATATACGTCCACACAATACTTCACACATAAAACATTATTGTCAATATACACCCACAATACTGCACACATAAAACATTATTGCCAATATACGTCCAAACAATACTGCACAAATAAAACATTATTGTCAATATTCGTCAACACAATACTGCAAACATAAAACATTATTGTCAATATACGTCCACAATACAGCACGCATAAAACATTATTGTCAATATACGTCAACACAATACTGCACACATAAAACATAATTGTCAATATACGCCCACACAATACTTCACACAAAAATCATTATTGTCAATTTACGCCCACACAATACTGCACGCATAAAACATTATTGTCAATATTCGTCAACACAATACTGCACACATAAAACAGTATTGTCAATATACGTCCACAATACTGCACACATAAAACATTATTGTCAATATACGTCCACACAATACTGCACACATAAAACAGTATTGTCAATATACGTCAACACAATTCTGCACACATAAAACAGTATTGTCAATATACGTCCATAAGTGCACACTTAAAACATTATTGTCAATATACGTCAACAATACTGAACACATAAAACATTATTTTCAATATGCTTCCACAATACTGCAAACATAAAACATTATTGTCAATATGCGTCCACAATACTGCACAAATAAAACATTATTGTCAATATACTTCCACAATACTGCAAACATAAAACATTATTGTCAACATGCGTCAACAATACTGCAGACATAAAACATTATTGCCAATATACGTCCAAACAATACTGCACAAATAAAACATTATTGTCAATATTCGGCAACAAAATACTGCACACATAAAACATTATTGTCAATATACGTCAACACAATACTGCACACATAAAACATTATTGTCAATATACGCCCACACAATACTTCACACAAAAATCATTATTGTAAATTTACACCCACACAATACTGCACGTATAAAACATTATTGTCAATATTCGTCAACACAATACTGCGCAAATAAAACAGTATTGTCAATATACGTCCACAATACTGCACACATAAAACATTATTGTCAATATACGTCAACACAATACTGCACACATAAAGCATTATTGTCAATATACGTAAACACAATACTGCACACATAAAACATTATTGTCAATATACGTCCACACAATACTGCACACATAAAACAGTATTGTTAATATTCGTCCTCACAATACAGCACTCATAAAACATTATTATCAATACATGTCCACAATACTGCACACATAAAACATTATTTTCAATATGCTTCCACAATGCTGCACACATAAAACATTATTGTCAATATACGTCCACAATACTGCACACATAAAACATTATTGTCAATATACGTCCAAACAATACTGCACAAATAAAACATTATTGTCAATATTCGTCCACAATACTGCACACATAAAACATTATTGTCAATATACGTCCACAATACTTCACATATAAAACATTATTTTCAATATACGTCCACAATACTGCTCACATAAAACATTATTGCCAATATACGTCAACACAATACTGCACAAAAAAAACATTATTGTCAATATTCGTCAACAAAATACTGCACACATAAAACATTATTGTCAATATACGTCCACAATACAGCACACATAAAACATTATTGCCAATATACGTCAACACAATACTGCACACATAAAACATTATTGTCAATATTCGGCAACACAATACTGCACACATAAAACATTATTGTCAATATACGTCAACACAATACTGCACACATAAAATATTATTGTCAATATACGCCCACACAATACTTCACACAAAAATCATTATTGTAAATTTACACCCACACAATACTGCACGTATAAAACATTATTGTCAATATTCGTCAACACAATACTGCGCAAATAAAACAGTATTGTCAATATACGTCCACAATACTGCACACATAAAACATTATTGTCAATATACGTCAACACAATACTGCACACATAAAGCATTATTGTCAATATACGTAAGCACAATACTGCACACATAAAACATTATTGTCAATATACGTCCAAACAATACTGCACAAATAAAACAGTATTGTTAATATTCGTCCTCACAATACAGCACTCATAAAACATTATTATCAATACATGTCCACAATACTGCACAAATAAAACATTATTGTCAATATACGTCCACAATACTGCAAACATAAAACATTATTGTCAATATACGTCCACAATACTTCACACTTAAAACATTATTGTCAATATACGTCCACAATACTGCACACATAAAACATTATTTTCAATATGCTTCCACAATGCTGCACACATAAAACATTATTGTCAATATACGTCCACAATACTGCACACATAAAACATTATTGTCAATATACGTCCAAACAATACTGCACAAATAAAACA